TGTATTTAATAACATTTTCTTTTATTTTTTATTTTCATCACGGAATCTCTACATACATTGATAACATCACACACTCTATCGCGTTTATGCTCGATGTATGTTTTAACTAGTGCAGTATGTTTCTCGCTCAAAGTTTAAGCGTTTCTTATTGAAAAGTGTGCACGATAAAAGCGTAATAACTATGTATAGTTTCTAAAAATAGTTATGCTTATAACAAATTGAAACTATACGCGATCAGTTCCGACCTATGTGTACTGTTGTTGTTTACTTTCAATATACGATAGCATACTAGCATGGCTTCAGAGTTTATCATACTCGTAACTCGTTACGTACTCTGTATAATAAACATTCGGGCATATGTTAGTAGTAGGTTATTATTAAAATACTAAATAATAAAAAAAATCTGTAATTTAAATAATACGTAAAAGATTACTGTTAAAAATTTAAAGCCTTTTTCTATAGGATCAGGTGACAAAATGAGCACATATTCCATCTGATGGTGAGTGGTTGCTGCGGCCCATAGACATCTACATCTATCCTCGATTACAAATCAAAATGCAAATGCGTTGTCAGCCGTGAGGACTAAGATGGAATAACTCGTTTACAGAAAAAAGGGTCTCCGATTCTCTACACTCACCATACGAAACACAGCAGCATTAAGCTACTATTTTACGCTGGTATTCTGTGAGACCGTGGTCCTTCCCCGGTCGAGCTGACCCATTCGTGCTACAACTATATTACTAATATAACGGCAGCATGGCTCTACCACGTATAAAAATACATTAGTTTTTTTTATTTAACGGCACGTAAAAGTCTATTGCTGGACTTTTGAAATATGTAATGTATGTGTATGTGTAATGTGCTCGCATAAAAGTAAAGTAAAGTAAAGTTACAGCCTATATACGTCCCACTACTGGGCACAGGCCTCCCTCAGTTTTAGGGCAAGAAATTGTCCGCCACGCTGCCCTAATGCGTGTTGGCATAGTACACAAGTGCTCGTATAGTACACAAGAATTATTTACATTTACTGAATATGTTATGCTCATCGGTAGCTCATGTAAATGTGCGTATGTTTAAACTTGAAACTCGATTTCGAATTCCTTGATGTGCGGTTTTAACTAAAACGTATTTAGGAGTTTAATAATACATTGAATTTTAACAGATAATTGAGAGGAGAATAAGCGTCTGCCTTAAAAGCAGCAAACAGAGTTCGATTTGCGTCGCCATCAAAGTAAACGTAAATTAAAATTTTATGTACTCATTTATCACTTATTTTGAGGTTATGGGAAACATTGTAAGGAAAAATCAATGTCAAAAATGTTTTGAAGGCATGTTTTCCATGATGCATCGGAGGTGCACGACGTCACGATCTTCACAGCTACAAAACGCATTTGGAAACAATAGAACGCCTTTCAACTCCAGTCATAACTTTTTATCCAATTTAGGCTTATTTACTAGGTTGGGAAGCTCTTATGATCGAACTATCAAGACATTTCAGGCACTGCTATCACAGGGACACTGGTGAGATTGACAAGTAGCCGCTCCTAGACGGATTCCTACGGTAATGCGCAAGCTTTCCCCATCAAACAATGTGCCGAGATAACTTAATGGTGCAGCGTGTAACCAGTGACTAGATTCTTTAGTCGAAACAGCTAGAAGGCGAGCCAAATCTTGGTCACTGTGGAATTTGTGAAACAAATCTGTCTGCACACTCCGTACCAGCGGAATATCCCGTTTTTTGTTATTTAAGTTCCTGGTTGTTCCCTGGTCAATGAGTTTGGGCTTCACGGACTTTTGTGTAAGAAAAGTGGAGGAAGGTTTTCAAGTCACGATTCTTTCTCACGGCTCGTGTCTCTATAAATGTTCCCTAGGTTTTAGAGTATTGTGGAATATTTAGAGACAATGGCAAGAGACCCGACGGTATGACTTACGTCCCTTGGGAAAGAGGTAAATCCTGGTGGTGGTAAAAAAGGTGGGACAATAATGGATGGACGTTCTTTAATCATTAGCTGATGTACGAAACTCTGGCGTCCGACAAACGACTGACTACTAGTCAGGTTAGCATTACCTCCGCAGCAAAGCACAGGACTACTTTATTATTTGAAATTATGTTACATAAGTAATTGACACTATGCACAGAAGCAAGAAAAGCAGGCATTAAAACGTTAGAAAGATTTCTTACACCAATACCACCAAATTTTTAGGTAAAGTAGCTCGATTCCATTCTGTTGCATTTAAAATCAAACGTAGAATTTTTTCTTAAGCTAATTTTAGATTCTTATCAATATCTTCTAAAATAATCGAAAATTTCTAGATTGGATTTGTGCGTAATAAATATATAAATTTAGGTAAACGAAGGCAATATTTTAAACTAGTAAGAGAAATGAGGGGGTTTGAAGTTGGTTAAACACTATCGAAAAACAAAGGAACACCGAGCTGGTGTAGCGATTCCGCGTGGATTCCTGGAGAAATATGATTGAAATTTTGAATTAAAGTATTTCTATTAGAACTAGATAAATTATTGGAAAGAAATATTCCACATTTATTGTTATTTGGTTCAAGACAAATAGTTTCCTAATTCTGAAAATTATGAGTAAATTCACTGAGAACTTCATCTGCTTTACCTCCCAGTGTTCCGTCATCCAGGTACATACATTCGGCTTGGATTTGAAATTTGAAATAATGGGTTCGATTCCCAAACCAAAAAGAGCTGCACCTTCCTCCTTCTTACCGTGTGTGATCCAGCCACGGCTACTAAGCCCCGGCCACGACAAGGCGGGATTCCGTTCGGAGGGGTACCTAACCCAAACTTGAGCTAACACGGCTCTCATTTTGTCTCTTAATTAGTACGAACGTATCAAGAACAAAAGCTTGTTCAAATTTTACTTATATGCTGTGTTACATAATGCGCTCTTAAATATTTTATAAGCTGTGTAATAAAAACCAGCTTTATGTTCCCAGTTCAAAGGAGTAAAGGCTGGTGTATGTCTTTTTTGAAAATTCTATCAGCGTGAAATAACGTTAATGAGAATTTAACGTTGCTATGTATATTGTATATGTCGTAGGATAAATGGATAAACTGAATTTTACGCAAAAATCTGGGTTATCGCGACAATACGGATAAGATTAGGGGATTAATCTTACTGAAAAGAGATTAGGGGTTTTGCAAATTGAATATACTCAAATCTGATTGAGGCTTGATTTTGATTTATAGGTGTATAGTTTATGAGTACTGATTTTTTTTTTGTAAAATCATAACCTAACCTTTTAGAAAGGAGTATTCACTCAAAGTAACTTCTGTAACAGCTTCGGAGCTGTAGGAAGTGCAGCCTCTTCGCCCTTACGTAGCAAATACAAGGCAACCATGCTCACCTCCGCAGCTTTTGGTTATTGATCTTAACTTCAGCCGCTACGGCTCGCACTGGTACCTGCAATTTGCTACGGCGGGCGGGTTTGCTCTCTTCTGCGCTTAGGGTTTTACAAATACATTTTAGGGGTAGAACAGACAAGACTACGCGGAGTTGAGACGTGCTAATTTCGTTTTAGAACAGATTCGACCAATCGTCTAGTTATCGTTGTTTTCGCGATATTCCTAGATTTTTGCGGAAAATCGGAGATATATAACAATGCTAAGCTTACGATACAAACTTGATATTGAGGTGCATTATACAAAACCCTTTTTAACCCCAAGTGACTTTTTGTAGATTCTATAGGATTCTCAAGTTGTTAAAATTATTACAAAAAATCCATTTGGGCCACACTTATTACAAACTAGTTTTTGCTTTGGGATATGCTGGCCTGAAAATCAGATTAGCGGTATTATACTCTTGGGGCGAGAATCACAAAAAAATTGGTTAATCGCGTTATGAACGACGTCAAAAGGTTAACCCATTTAGACCGATAATTATTTTTGTGAAAAATTCATGTTTCATTAACAAAACCTGATCCAAGAAAGCCTAAAAACCGGGGGAAAAATATTTAAAAAAAAATTAATAAGAGGGGGGGCGACTGAAGGGACGTACCACATATGGTACAGTAGGACTATATGTATGCAAAAAAAAGACATGATTTTACTAATTAGATTTTATTTACTTTTTTGGTGTGATACATAATAAAGCACTCTACGTGGACACCGATATTGCACTTGACACATCTTGTAGGACATTGTTTGTGGCATAGGCCACACCTGGTCCTCTTTTCCTGCTTGCTGACATAGTGTTCTTTGCCGTCGTATCGAGAGTCTGATGTTATTGAAGATGGTCGACTAGGACCTGGCCTTTCGCGTTGTTTATTACAATCGATAATATAGTTTGCAATACGACGTCGAAAGTTTAGCAAGTCGATATTCCCTCCATTATGTCTGTACAGCAGCCATGCATTTTGTACAGACATGTCTATACAATGGAGAATCAGAGGCATATACCACTTTTTTCCTCGAATGCTAGTTCGCAATGACGATATATTCTGATCTGATAAATCTACTCCACCCATATTTTTATTGTATTGTTGAATGAGATGAGGTTGAGAAACAGATATTTTCTTTTTTAGTTGCTGAGAATAGCGTTCAGTTTTGTGGACAGGATCAACACCAACTGCATTAGAGCATACTGACACTATACTATTGTCATGCCACTTGCAAATTATAATATCATCAGATATGCGATAATCATAAAAGCCTCTTTCTTTTGTCTTTGCTTCTTTGTTACTTAATAGAGGGCACTTTCCAGATCTATTTTCTCTGATAGTACCAGTTACACGAAATCCCCTCTCAGTAAGTTCATGAACCAAAGGCAAACCGGTAAAAAAGTTATCTATGAAGAGATGGTAGTTTTTTCCATAGCCTAATGTTGCTAGTTGATCTGCATAAGACAAAACCACACTTGCACCAAGACCAAGCTGGGAATATTGGGCATTCGTAAATGTAGAAGCACCTTGGTATGGTTCAAACCATGCAATGTAACCTCCTGATGTTGCACCAACCCATAATTTGTATCCATATCTTATTGTTGTTTGTGTTGTAACCATATCATCTTGCCTCTAATAAACTGTTTGCAGCCGTGATGACCAAAATATGGGACCATAGCCTCATCAACACTATGATTCTCCTTATGTGGACAGTGCTCAAGAAACCTCATAGTTAAAACTTTTAATAAAGGACGAACTTTTGCAAATTTATCGGATGTATCTAAATTTAGATTATCAGCAACATGAATATTAGAGTAAATTAGTGTAAATCTATCTCGAGACAAGGCTGAAGCAATCAAACTATTTCTTGAGTCAGATGCATTTTCCCAGTACATTCTTCTTCTGCTCACTTGGCAGTAGCCACTGACTAACAAAATCCCTACCAAACATTTCATCTCTTCAATCTTGACGTCAGCAGAGAGAAGCTTACGTGCTAAGTATCTATTGGTTTCAATAGTAAGCATCTCAAATACTTCTTCTGAAAATAATAAAGAAAACCATTCTATCGGGCTTCTTTCAATAGGAGTATGATAAAGGGGTTTCCAAACAATAGGTCTTAGCTGCAAGTCTCGTTTTCGCCAATTGTAATTCATGACACGTTTTTTTAAAGGTTCTTGAAATTCGGGAGGGGTTTGGTCCTCAGTTTCTGGTTTTTCCATTGAGGTTGAGGCAGCAAGCTCCGCTGGAGCTCGAAGCAAACTTCCAGGCAAATTATTTATGCTGACGTTATCTTCTTCACCCGAGTCCTCGTCAGTTTGGTAATCATTGGCGGTGTCAGGTGGAAGTAAAAAAATATCAAAATCTTGTCTCTGGTTGCTCAAATCATCATCTTCCTCAAGAACTGTAGCAATTTCATGTAATGTCAATGACCTAAAACAATAAAACACAAAAAGATAAATAAAAAGCTAATATAATAATATGTAAATTGACTTAGGTATTTTGTGCTCATACATAGACCTACTGTACCATATATGATACACCTAATCTAGCACTGTGTACACCTTACTAAAATGACCCAAGTGAAACTTATTTGTAGCTATTACGTCTATTGTAGCCTAGTATTTAAAATAATACCAACAAATAATATGATTTACTATAGATAACATGAAACTTACCTTCTTGAAGACATTGTAAATTGTTTTTTTCCGTTTCTGTCTAGCAATTTTAATATAAACTGATAATAACTCGCATAAAATGTGTATGTTATATTGTTGATATAAAACTAATACTCTGAGTTATCTGCCACAACTAACCAAAAAAGTTAATAATTTGTGGGTACATCAAAATATTTTTACAAAGTAACTGTACCACATAGGGTACGGTAGGCCTATATGGGTTAAGTTTACATATATACTTATTTAGATGACTAATTTTGCATAAGATGATATAACTGAAAATCATTAAGCAGATTTTATATGTGATATAGCCACGCTTCAGCGTTTTATGACAGCAGCACAAAAGAAATGGCATCGATCAGAGAGGAATCAAGATATTATCAAATACCAGCGTGAAATAGCAGCAACATAACGCTGAGAACCACAAACTCTTTTTAACGAAAAGAAATATTCCATGTAGTCCTAACAGGTGACAATAAACCTGCATTTATTTCAATAAATATTGGGTGAATTATGAGATCGTTTGACACTCTTGCTTATAATCAATAAAAGTAATTTATATTTAGTATTCGAAATTGTCTACCAATGAAAATATCATACAGAGATTTATTTTTGTTTTGTTGTAGGCGCGGATGAAAACATTTATAAATATTTTATTCGTTTAATTAATTCCATGGGCCCCTTTACAGAAGGCAAGGATCATAACGTTAGCGCGAACAAGTGAAATGCGTCCCTTGACCCAAGTTGGGCTATATGGGATTTGAGAAAACTTAAACGTCTCACGTTCAACTATACAAATTTAAATATTTTTGGTGATAACTTTAACAATTTAAGTTAAATTAGTTTGTATTTTCAACCGACGAAAGAACGGACGAGGTACTCAAGTGGATGCGTATTTTTTATGTATGACCACGCATAACTTTTTAAAGGGATTTTGTATAATTCTTTTTAATGGATATGGTCTACATTGGAATTTGTCCCCTATAAATTTAGAAAAAAAATTACCCTAAGGGTGGGAAAATAGGGGTGATTTATTACAGAGCACTCCTATTTTGTTTGATAATTATTTTTTAATGGATAGAGTGAATTACATTACGAAAAAAACGTCACGATGAATGAGCTTTAGACCTGTCAGTCTCTTGTGTAGACCTCTCAGTCTCTGCATTTCTGATAAAGCTCGTTCACCGTGAGGTTGGTTTAATAACTTATTTGACTCTAGTTCAGATAAAGCAACACCTTCAAGTGTTTTTACTCTACTCAGTGCCAAAGGGTCGATTACAGCTTTAAACAAATAATAGTTAAAAAAGGATTATATAACAGTTAATAGACTAAGGTTGAATAAACTAAGGTAAGTAGCTATTTTAAAAGTAATCAAAAATTAAGCATGTAGTAATTAGTAGATTATAGCTACAAAAAAAAAATAAAATAAAAACTTTTTAACAAAAAAATTAAACCGCCGTAAAACTGAAACTCTTTTACGTTAATAACTAAGTTCTAAAACTAATGTAAATGTACCCAATTATATACTTTTATAAACATTTTGAGTCCTTAATTAACCTTAATAACTAAGTTTTTAAACAAATGTAAGTATAGCTAAATAATTCTGATTCTGATCCAAGCAATCAATGAACAAAGATCACTAGTTTACTTTAAATTTAAAGAAATAATCAAATCAAATTAAAAGTGCAACATGAAATCTTCAGCGATAAACATTAACATTTCAAAAGTATGCTATCCGGACGAACGCTTACAACGACGTGGCGTTTATTCAACGTGTACAACAACATCGTGCTTCTGAACATAGAATGCTCAGGGCTTACCACCAAACAAAGGAATGCGCTTCGGGAAAATGAAAACCTATGTAGCAGCCAGGCTAATCGGCAATAAATAATATATACCCTGCTGCTACCATAACACAGAAGGCGAAGAAAACATTTATTTCCTAACTATCCCCGGCTACTGAGATACTGCGGGCTGCATATTGATGCGAGATAATTTGACGTATATATTTAACGTTCTAATAAAGAAACAAGAAACAGTCGCAAATATCATTCAGCGCCACATCGTCTTCACACGCCGCTATCGTTATATATACGTCGACCATTTTGAAGCCGTTTCTTCTTCGCTTCTTCTTGCTGTTCCGGATCCGTGTCCCATGCCGCCGCCTCTCGCCGACCACGCGCGCGCGCGCTTTTTTTTTGCGCCCGAAGCAGTTAAAGGGCTACCCTTAACGTAGGGAGGCGGAAAATGCATAACGCATACCACGATATTATATATATTTTATACGTGGTAGAGCCATGCTGCAGTTATATTAGATGTATAGTTGTAGCACGAATGGGTCGGCTCAACCGGGGAAGGACCACGCTCTCACAGAATACCAGCGTGAAATAGTAGCTTAATGCTGCTGTATTTCGTATGGTGAGTGTAGAGAACCGGCGACCCATTTTACTGGAAACGAGGCATTCCATCTTAGTCCTCACGGGTGACAACACATCTGCATTTTGATTCGTAATCGAGGATAGATGTAGGGTCTATGGGCCACAGCAACCACTTACCATCAGGTGGACTGTGTGCTCGATTGTCACCCTATCCTATAAAAAAAAAAAAAACGATAGCCGATCTATTGTGGTTATGTGGGACTCACATCCTACCGGGGAACCTAAGTGATACCCTCTAAAAACCGCCTTTAGGGAGTGGCAACTGGCTGATTAAGCTTTATTGTGCCGTATCGTGAGCGACCCTCTTTTGGGAAAAGAGGGCGCAGGCGGCTGCGAGCCGCTGAGGGAGTGCCTGCGAAGGCAAATTAATTATGAATAAATACTTTAATTTAATTAGATTTGGCCTGAGCCGCCAGGAGGCAGTTCAGGTCGTTTGATAGTTTATTAGGCGGGTCTGAATGAGAGTTTCTCGGCCTGCGGACTCGATAGCGAGGGGGGGCTGCATAAGTAGCTGCCTCACGAATAAAATGGTTGGAGTGCGACTCTAAGGCTTTGAAGAAGTTCTCAGAGAGTTTTTTGAGAAATTGTTGAATTGTGGGGAGCTCTAGGTCCCGATGAAGGTCGGCATTACGGACGTACCAAGGTGCGTTCGCAGCTCGACGACAGAAAAGGTTTTGAACTATTTGGAGTTCATTAATAATTTTAGGGTCAGCGTGGGCAAAAACGGGGCCCGCGTAGGACGTGACTGGTCGTATATAGACCTTGTAAAGGGTACGCTTGTTTCGAAGGGACATTTTACTGTGTCGGCCCAACATACTGTTGAGCCTACTCAGGTAAAAACGTTCTACTTCAGGTAAAAACGGATTACTCTTTTGACGTGGGGCCTGAAAGTGAGCTTTGTGTCTAGAGTGACACCTATATATTTGGCAGTCGTATGCCGGGGACAGGGGTCCCTAGCATACGTATTGGTGGAGTGTTTTTGAGACGGCGTCGTTTATAATCGAAGTGAACGGCGGAGCTCTTCTCTGGGTTCACATCGATGCGCCATTTTTTGAACCAAGCTCCTAGGTCGTCAACTGACTTTTGAAGCTTGTTCCGTATGAAAGGTAGCGAGACACCTGCGAAGAGGGAGAGCTGAACACCTTTCGACGGGATGGGAATGTCGTTGGTGAACAGGATGTACAGCAGAGGAGCAAGTACTGAGCCCTGAGGGACACCAGCTTTGATAGGGCGCTGTGAAGATAGGGTGCCTTCGTGTCTAAAACGAAAGGTACGATGCTTTAAGTAAGAGGCCACGAGGCGTACTAGACGATCGGGGAGTCCTATTTTGTACAGCTTGTAGATAAGGCCTGTATGCCAGACTCTATCGAAGGCTTTAGCTATGTCAAAAAAGACCGCGGTGGTCTTATGACGACGAGAATAAAAACCGCTGTGGATATATTCCACAATACGGTGAATCTTGTTGGGGACATGAGTGTTGCGCTCGGAAACCGAATTGATGGGGAATGATAAGAGGGTCACCGTCTGTGGGAAACAGATAGTGCCTCATACGAGTTTGGATGACTCTTTCGAAGAGCTTGCCCATTGCCTTGAGGAGGCTAATGGGGCGATGACTGGAGGGGGAGGTTGAGAGGCTTGCCTGGCTTGGGAATACCAATCACAGTTGCCTCTTTCCACGTAGTGGGAAGTAACTAAGGTTGAAGCAGGCGCTGAAGATAATATATAAAAAGGTTAACACCTGCTCAGGAAAGTGTTTTAGGGCTTGCGCGCCCGGAGCCTTTTTAGGCTTAAGTCCTTTGATGAGGGATGAAATCTCATCATTGGACACAGAGATAGGTTCGGAGGCTGTAGGGGGCGAGTTCCGGCGGCGGACCTCATCCTCCACTGCCTGGACGTGTGAGGGGTCGACGGGTTGAGAGCTAGGGAGAGCATTGTGCGGCAATGCTATCTGCAAAGCACTCAGCCTTTTCCTCGTCCTCGAAGGCAACCGTACAGTCGGGACGGAGAGAGGAGGACTGTGGGTGATAGCGTCTATGCGGAGGGCTCTAGCATTCTGATATCTGATAGTACGCTGTATGAGATGGAGAGATATTCTCCATGAGTTTACTCTTTTCGAGGTCTCGAAATTCAGAGAGGCGGAAACGGAGTTCTCGTTGAAGACGATTGGCCGTGTGCCTATATTCGGGGGTGGGATACTTTGTTGCTCTCCGGAAAGCAGCTTTTTTGGCTTTTAATAGGTTGCTAATATGTAGGGGAAGCCCACTATTGTTAGCAACCGGGACGACCCTTTCGTTCTCCTTAAGGGAGGATTTAATAAGGGTGGAGAGTGAATCGACCGCGGTGTCGATTTTTTCGGGACTGTCTAAGTCCGACGTTAGGGGAGATGGTAGAGTCCTGTGAGTCCAGAGCTTTAGCTAGGGACTCCTTGAATCCCTTCCAATTAGTGAAGGTTTTCTTGTGTGTTTCTGGAGGTGGCTGATAGCCAAGAATGAGGGAGACCGGTCGATGATCGGATCCTAGATCGTCTAGTGTCTCGATTGCTCTGAGGTTGAGAGAAACTCCTTGGAGTAACGCAA